GTGGGTGAGAGTGACAGCTGCCGTGCAGCCCTGTTAGCACTTTTTGATTCTGGTCATCTCCGTGGTAGAGGGTAGACTGTCATTGTGGATTTAATTCAGTTTTGTGGACTGTTAGTACATCCGGCATCTTTTTGTCCAGGTTACTCCGGCCATTTGGATATTCTTGAAAAGAGTGGTCTTTTCAAGACACCTGCTCATCTTTATCTTGGATTGCTGTCTTTCCTTTTCGATGCATAGGACATACTTCGATATTCTAGATACGAACCTTTGGGTCACGTGTGTTGCCGATGTATGCCACTCTGAGCATGAGTGTTCCCTACGTGATGTCTGTGGATGATGAGGGGATTTTAGTTTTAAGATAGTGTGTGGGGTTAGCGTTTCGTTGCTGTGACAAAACACCCATGAAAAACAACTTAGAAGAGGAAAGAGGAACGGCTCCTCTTAGCTCACAGTTTCAGAGGTCTCGGTCCATGGTCAGTTGTCTCCATCGCCTTTAGGCCTGTAGAAAGGCAGAGACACCATAGCAGAATGGTGGCAGAGGGGAGAGTTACTCAGCTTGTGGCAGCCAGGAAGCAGGGGGAGATGGGAAGGAAAGGCGAGCCAGATATAGACCCCATGTGCATAGCCCCAAGAACCTAGCCCTTCATCTAAGTCCCATCTCCTACAGTTTTCCCTACTTCCCAGTACTCTATTCAGCTGTCACCCATGAATGGATGAATCCTCTGATGAGCTGTGTGGCCTTATTATCCAGTCCCTTCCGAAAACACCACCTCCGAACGTTGGAACCAAATCGTTAGCACGGGAACCTCTATTTAATCCATATTCTCCTTTAGGATTAGTACCTTGTAGATCCTCTGTAAAGAGCTTTGCTTACCCTTACCCTAATGTCATGAAAGTGTCCTCTTCTATTATCTTCCAATAACTTAATTTTTTCACTTTTTACATTCAGATCTATAGTCCACATGACATTGATGGATTTTATTTTTTTTCCCGTCTTCCTTCCCTCCCTCCCTCCCTCCTTCCATCCTTCCTTCTTTCCTGGGCTGGGATTGAACTCAGGACCTCACGTGGGTTAAGCAAGCACGGTGCCACTGAGCTACACCCACAGCCCATGGCACTCATTTTTGTGGGTGGTGTGAGGTTGGGATCAAGTCTGACTTTTTCCCCCCGCCATTTATATCCACTTATTGTGCCTTACAAATGGAAATTATTTCCTTTCCCCAAATGTTCTGCACTATGCTTTTACCATAAAGTAAATACCTACTTTACTGATGGAACCATCATTTGACTTTCCCCTTCCTCCTGTTAGTGTAGTGAATTATTCAATGGGTGCTTGAGTGTTAAGATACGTTTGTATTTCGGACTAAACCCAATTTGATTGCGATGTGTAGTTTATTTTATATATTCCTGCAGGTGTTTTGTTCATATTTTTTTGAAAAAAAAAAAAAAACGATTTTTAGAGCCAAGTTTATTACTTAATTCACTGTCATGTCCTTGTCAGTTGTGTTACCAGGTTTACCTGACTCATAAAATGAGATTAGGAGTATCTTTTTAATAAAGTATTTTAGAAATTAAAATATAAGTGATTCTAATCTAATGCGGTGACCAAACATGTATGTAGTTTGTTCTAAATGTTTGACACGGTTTTCTTTCTTCCCAGGCTTCTGCTTGTTCTTAGACTTGCAAAAGAGACCCAACGTGGTGCGAGTTTTGCACGGGAGAGTAGAGTTGGACGGTCAGCTGGGGTTTCCGTAGGTCATACAGCAGCATGCTCCTATGTCCAGGGCTGAAATTTGGTACTGCTTTTCTGTTCTGGAACCCACCATCAAGGCCCATCTGGGTTTAAAAGCGAAGCTATAAGGTGAGAGGGCAAACATTCAGATAAAACACCTGATCCCCATCAAGAATCCTCAAAGCTAATTTTATCTCCAACTTTGGATCCCAACAACCACGGTTCCATAGAAAAAAAAACTTTGAATGCCCTTTGGTACCGTGTGTCTGACCCATCCCGTGCCCATCTCCCCTGTCCTACTCGCTGCTGTTCTCATTCAGGGCCCATCTGCTGTCACCCGTTGTCCAGCTGGGGCATGAGCGGATCACCTAGGCTCCCCTTGGTCCTCCTCCCAGCTGTTGGACATCCTGCTGAGCAGGTGACTGTGTTAGCCTCC